TTCTTTTTTTTTTTTTTTGAATGAGATAGGCAAATTCTGTCAATTAGGTACGTTTTTAAGCGTTAAGCCAATACCTGGCCCCTGGGTACAACTTTTATGCAAGTAAAATTTTTCAATACGGCGAATATTTTTTTGCCCCAGACCTTAGTCCTTAGCAAGTTAGCAGAAATACTTTACCAAAATTGCACTTTTTACATTTTCAGCAATTTTTTAAAGATAGTAGGTAGGTTAGGCTAAATGTTTGATTTCTTGACTAGTTGACTAGGTAGCCTAGCTTTATCCATATTCCATAATAGATAGGTCATAGGTAGTAAAAATGTTGAAGTTTATGCCACTATCACTATTTTTAGTTTTGCAATATTTTTATTAGTTTAGCTGCTAGCTACAACATTTCTATGAAATGTGGGACAGTGGGACGCGCGTCCCTATTCACCCCGCCCATCCCTTTTTACCCAGTGTGACAGTAGTGAATGTGAATGTACCCAAGCGCATCACCAACACCAACACAGTATTTGATTTTGAACCACGTAAGATATTGGAAGCACAGCAGTTTCTGATGAGCTCAGACTATCAATAGTCACTGCGGCCGAAGGTGTTAGGCATGTACCTTACCTAACTACACAATCATGACAATGACAATAGCCCAGTAAGCCTACAGAGTATAGTCTACTTACACTTACTCTACTATAGTAACTATACCAAATACCAATTATTAACCAATAATACCTCCTTATGATCCGATACTATTCTGGCCATCGTCTCATGTCTCCTAATTCCACTTCTTGCTCAACTATCACTCTATCAGAGTATATAAGGATAAAAAATTATTATACTTTTAATTGCCCTAACTAGGTATCACGGCCCCAGTGGGCAATAGCCACCTCCAAAGAACTAAGGCCATGATGACAGAAAGGTGCACAAGGATGCAAATGTAATTGTGACGGCCACAGGTTTCCTATACGCGAATGTAAAAAGCAGGTATTTTACGATATAAGTATACCTATTACATGTCCAAAGTTTTGCCATCCTACAATCGAAGTTCAGCAGAATTATCATCTCACAAAATAAAAATTATTTATAGCCTCCTAGTATGAAAATCTTCAAAAACAGACTAGACGAAGCTATGCAGGAGCATGTGTTCAGTCTTAAAATGCCTAGCAAATTACGGACCAGGCAATAAGTCTAGCAGCTATCTCAATCAATCGTCATTTAGAGTTCTGTTCTAACCGTTGAGGCAAGAGGTTCTTTGTGTTGAGCTCCCGTGACAGTAGCCGGCTTCGGCCGGCTGCTACGTCATCTTTCTGGAACTGTCTTTCTCGAATTTTGAAAATGCCGTGCTGTCCCGCTTCGAGGCGTTGAGCCGGCGAATGGTACGACCAGCTAAAGTGAAGTTTAACTCCCGAACACCTATAATGCTCCTGGCATCTAACAGCAAAATTCGTTACAAATATTTTAAGATGCCTCCATGTGTGGTTAGTGCCCCGGGTTTGTGGTTTGTGCCCCCAGGCGAGTGGTTAGTGTCCCCAGGTGAGTGGTTAGTGTCCCCAGGTAGTGGTTAGTGTCCCCAGGTAGTGGTTAGTGTCCCCACCCTGGAGTGGGGCTATCTGCCCTGGAGTGGGGCTATCTGCCCTGGAGTGGGGCTGTCTGCCCTGGAGTGGGGCTATCTGCCCTGGAGTGGGGTTTTCTGCCCTAGAGTGGGGCTTTCTGCCCTGGAGTGGTGCTCTCCGCCCCGGCGTGGTCTCCACTTTGGTGGCCCCGTTCAGCAGCCCTTCAGCCATTGAGAAATCTTGAGTTTTTTTTCAAGACACCCTTTTTTGTGCCTGAAAACAAAATTCAGTCGAATTCCTTGAACTGTTCTGACATGGGGCCGCATTGAACCAGTCTTCAGAGGCTCCCATAGATTCCAATTAAAAAAAATCGTCATTTATGGAAAGATCGGGTTCCAAAGGCCTGATCCCTTATGAATCAAGTCACGAAAAATTCAAGAATCGGCAACAGGCCATAGGCCTATTTCTTCAATGCCGATACTTCTATTCTATTCTATAACACATTCGTGTGATAAAATGATTTATATTACAAATCTCGAGATAACAAAAGAGATGCCGTATGTCAAACTTAAATCTCTTGTATGAGATAACTGATCATTATGGCAGTGTGCACAAGTGGAATTCGCATAAATTTTTTCAGTCATGTCGTGTGTCAGATCATAAGGTGCTGCGTCAATGACGCATGGAATCAGAGTTAGGAAATTCCTACGACCTGAATGAAAAGATAGTTTAAGCCGTGAAGGCACTAGGGTAGCGATAGTTAGCTACAACTCGCATATGCCAACATTGTGGTTGAGCAGCGTAACGGACTGCGCCAAGACTGGGAACCCACATTGCTGTAATCCTTCTTACTGCGAGGGCCCTCGCACAGCCAGCTTTGGTGGCTGCCCACTGATGAGGCAGGACAAGCAGGTAGAGGAATCCAGATGAAAAACCTAACACTCGGTCATTTATATAGTTGAGCTCGATGTGCATCTGCGTACGTTGGAATGACGTCAAGCGATCTTTTTTCAGGGGTCGCAGAGCATAGAGGGAAGAGTTGTAGGAATTTAAGGCTTGAGCTTCCAATTCTGGTGCTTCCGATCTGCGTATTTTAGAATCATTTTATACTTTCAAGATATAAGTGAATAGAATAGAAGTGAATTACTCTGAAGAAATAGGCCCATGGAATGTTGCCGATTCTTGTACTTTTCGTGACTTGATTCACAAGGGATCCGGCCTTTGGAACCCGATTTTTTCATAACTTTCCAGAGAAAGATTTCCTCTGATGAGGGCGAGGCAAACGTTCTTAATCAGGTTTTCAGCAGTTTATTCACAGATGAGGACTTAAACAGTATTCCAGATATTGAGGAGCGTCCAGTCGGCTCGAAGTTAACAGGTTTTGAAATACACGAAGAAGAGGTTCTCAAGCGCATGGTAGCTCTAAATCCCAATAAGTCATGTGGACCAGACGGCTTCCATCCCAGATTGCTCAAAGAATTAGCAACCGTTCTGGCCGGCCTATTGACAGTATTCTTTCAAAAAAAAAACTTGAACGAAGGAACTTTGCCGTCCGACTGGAAAGAAGCTCAGGTAACACCATTGTTCAAAAAAGGTGACAAAAGCCTCCCCCGGCAACTATCGCCCTGTCAGTCTGACAAGTGTTGTTTGTAAGCTATTGGAATCTGTTGTGGGGGATGGGATTATCGATCACTTGACAGATCACCATCTCCTATCAGGTTTTCAACATGGTTTTATTGCCGGTAGATCCTGCACCACTAACTTATTATCTGCGTTGAACGATTGGACTCGCCTGCTGGACGAAAGAGAGCCAGTGGATGCATTGTACCTCGATTTTGCCAAAGCATTTGACAGTGTTCCGCATGAGCGGCTGTTGCGTAAAGTGAAGTATTTTGGAATTGAGGGAAACGTACTCCAATAGATCAGAGATTCTCTAGTAGGTAGACGACAACGTGTCAGTATTAACGGAACCGTGTCAGACTGGCATCAGTGCGCAGTGGCGTGCCACAAGGAAGCGTTATTGGGCCTATTTTGTTCGTTGCTTTTATAAACGATCTGCCAGGGGCAGTGTCCAGCATGTGCTCCATGTATGCCGACGGCACAAAAGTTTATAATTCAGTGAAGGATGCGTCAAATAAAGCGCAATTGCAAGATGATCTTGACAGTTTAGTTAACTGATACGTGGCAGCTGCGGTTTAATGCTGACAAGTGTAAAGTACTTCACCTCGGGAAGAACAATGAACAGCAAGATTACAGTATGAGAAGACATGGCTGCAACGAGAGAGTAATGATTGAAAAGTCTAGTGTGGAAGAAGATCTCGGAATATATGTCGATAAGGAGCTGA